TCTGTAAGAGCGGTCTTTTGAGGGCAGATCTGCCTTCAAAAAATGGTCTGCTCTGTAAGAGCGGTTTTTTGAAGGCAGATCTGCCTTCAAAAAATGGTCTGCTCTGTTAAGAGCGATTTTTTGAGGGCAGTTCTGCCTTCAAAAAAATGGTCTGCTCTGTAAGAGCGGTCGTTTGAGGGCAGATCTGCCTTCAAAAAATGGTCTGCTCTGTAAGAGCGGTCTTTTGAGGGCAGATCTGCCTTCAAAAAATGGTCTACTCTGTAAGAGCGGTCTTTTGAGGGCAGATCTGCCTTCAAAAAATGGTCTGCTCTGTAAGAGCGGTTTTTTGAGGGCAGATCTGCCTTCAAAAAATGGTATGCTCTGTAAGAGCGGTCTTTTGAGGGCAGATCTGCCTTCAAAAAATGGTCTGCTCTGTAAGAGCGGTCTTTTGAGGGCAGATCTGCCTTCAAAAAATGGTCTGCTCTGTAAGAGCGGTCTTTTGAAGGCAGATCTGCCTTCAAAAAATGGTCTGCTCTGTAAGAGCGGTCTTTTGATGGCAGATCTGCCTTCAAAAAACGGTCTGCTCTGTAAGAGCTGTTTTTTTAGGGCAGATCTGCCTTCAAAAAATGGTCTGCTCTGTAAGAGCGGTCTTTTGAAGGCAGATCTGCCTTCAAAAAATGGTCTGCTCTGTAAGAGCGGTCTTTTGAGGGCAGATCTGCCTTCACAAAATGGTATGCTCTGTAAGAGCGGTTTTTTGATGGCAGATCTGCCTTCAAAAAATGGTCTGCTCTGTAAGAGCGGTTGTTTGAAGGCAGATCTGCCTTCAAAAAATGGTCTGCTCTGTAAGAGCGGTCTTTTGAGGGCAGATCTGCCTTCAAAAAATGGTCTGCTCTGTAAGAGCGGTCTTTTGAGGGCAGATCTGCCTTCAAAAAATGGTCTGCCTTGAAGGCAGATCTGCCTTCAAAAAATGGTCTGCTCTGTAAGAGCGGTCTTTTGAGGGCAGATCTGCCTTCAAAAAAGGGTCTGCTCTGTAAGAGCGGTTTTTTGATGGCAGATCTGCCTTCAAAAAATGGTCTGCTCTGTAAGAGCGGTTTTTTGAAGGCAGATCTGCCTTCAAAAAATGGTCTGCTCTGTAAGAGCTGTCTTTTGAGGGCAGATCTGCCTTCAAAAAATGGTCTGCTCTGTAAGAGCGGTCTTTTGAGGGCAGATCTGCCTTCAAAAAATGGTCTGCTCTGTAAGAGCGGTTTTTTGAAGGCAGATCTGCCTTCAAAAAATGGTCTGCTCTGTAAGAGAGGGCAGATCTGCTTCAAAAAATGTTTCTGTAAGAGCGGAGGGCAGATCTGCCTTCAAAAAATGGTCTGCTCTGTAAGAGCGGTCTTTTGAGGGCAGATCTGCCTTCAAAAAATGGTCTGCTCTGTAAGAGCGGTCTTTTGATGGCAGATCTGCCTTCAAAAAATGGTCTGCTCTGTAAGAGCGGTTCTTTGAGGGCAGATCTGCCTTCAAAACATGGTCTGCTCTGTAAGAGCGGTCTTTTGAAGGCAGATCTGCCTTCAAAAAATAGTCTGCTCTGTAAGAGCGGTCTCTTGAGGGCAAATCTGCCTTCAAAAAATAGTCTGCTCTGTAAGAGCGGTTTTTTGAGGGCAGATCTGCCTTCAAAAAAAAATCGTCTGCTCTGTAAGAGCGGTCTTTTGAGGGCAGATCTGCCTTCAAAAAATGGTCTGCTCTGTAAGAGCTGTCTTTTGAGGGCAGATCTGCCTTCAAAAAATGGTCTGCTCTGTAAGAGCGGTTTTTTGACGGCAGATCTGCCTTCAAAAAATTGTCTGCTCTGTAAGAGCGGTCTTTTGAAGGCAGATCTGCCTTCAAAAAATGGTCTGCTCTGTAAGAGCGGTCTTTTGAGGGCAGATCTGCCTTTAAAAAATGGTCTGCTCTGTAAGAGCGGTTTTTTGAAGGCAGATCTGCGGTTTTTTGAAGGCAGATCTGCCTTCAAAAAATGGTCTGCTCTGTAAGAGCTGTTTTTTGAAGGCAGATCTGCCTTCAAAAAATGGTCTGCTCTGTAAGAGCTGTGTTTTTGAAGGCAGATCTGCCTTCAAAAAATGGTCTGCTCTGTAAGAGCGGTGTTTGAAGGCAGCTATGCCTTCAAAAAATGGTCTGCTCTGTAAGAGCGGTCTTTGAAGGCAGATCTGCCTTCAAAAAATGGTCTGCTCTGTAAGAGCGGTCTTTTGAGGGCAGATCTGCCTTCAAAAAATGGTCTGCTCTGTAAGAGCGGTCTTTTGAAGGCAGATCTGCCTTCAAAAAAATGGTCTGCTCTGTAAGGACGGTGTTTTGAGGGCAGATCTGCCTTCAAAAAATGGTCTGCTCTGTAAGGACGGTGTTTTGAAGGCAGATCTGCCTTCAAAAAATGGTCTGCTCTGTAAGAGCGGTCTTTTGAGGGCAGATCTGCCTTCAAAAAATGGTATGCTCTGTAAGAGCGGTTTTTGAAGGCAGATCTGCCTTCAAAAAATGGTCTGCTCTGTAAGAGCGGTCGTTTGAGGGCAGATCTGCCTTCAAAAAATGGTCTGCTCTGTAAGAGCGGTCTTTTGAAGGCAGATCTGCCTTCAAAAAATGGTCTGCTCTGTAAGAACTGTCTTTTGAGGGCAGATCTGCCTTCAAAAAAAGGTCTGCTCTGTAAGGACGGTTTTTTGAAGGCAGATCTGCCTTCAAAAAATGGTCTACTCTGTAAGAGCGGTTTTTTGAGGGCAGATCTGCCTTCAAAAAATGGTCTGCTCTGTAAGAGCGGTTTTTTGAAGGCAGATCTGCCTTCAAAAAATGGTCTGCTCTGTAAGAGCGGTTTTTTGAAGGCAGATCTGCCTTCAAAAAGTGGTCTGCTCTGTAAGAGCGGTCTTTTGAAGGCAGATCTGCCTTCAAAAAATGGTCTACTCTGTAAGAACGGTTTTTTGAAGGCAGATCTGCCTTCAAAAAAATGTCTGCTCTGTAACGGTTTTTTGAAGGCAGATCTGCCTTCAAAATGGTCTGCTCTGTAAGAGCGGTTTTTTGAAGGCCATCTGCCTTCAAAAAATGGTCTACTCTGTAAGAGCGGTTTTTTGAAGGCACATCTGCCTTCAAAAAATGGTCTGCTCTGTAAGACGGTTTTTTGAAGGCAGATCTGCCTTCAAAAAATGGTCTACTCTGTAAGACGGTTTTTTGAAGGCAGATCTGCCTTCAAAAAATGGTCTACTCTGTAAGAGCGGTTTTTTTGAAGGCAGATCTGCCTTCAAAAAATGGTCTGCTCTGTAAGAACGGTTTTTTGAAGGCAGATCTGCCTTCAAAAAATGGTCTGCTCTGTGAGGACGGTTTTTTGAAGGCAGGTCTGCCTTCAAAAAATGGTCTACTCTGTAAGAGCGGTTTTTTGAAGGCAGATCTGCCTTCAAAAAATGGTCTGCTCTGTAAGAACGGTTTTTTGAGGGCAGATCTGCCTTCAAAAAATGGTCTACTCTGTAAGGACGGTTTTTTGAAGGCAGATCTGCCTTCAAAAAATGGTCTACTCTGTAAGAACGGTTTTTTGAAGGCAGATCTGCCTTCAAAAAATGGTCTACTCTGTAAGAACGGTTTTTTGAAGGCAGATCTGAAGGCTGTAAGAACGGTTTTTTGAAGGCAGATCCTTCAAAAAATGGTCTACTCTGTAAGAACGGTTTTTTGAAGGCAGATCTGCCTTCAAAAAATGGTCTACTCTGTAAGAACGGTTTTTTGAAGGCAGATCTGCCTTCAAAAAACCGTTCTTACAGAGTAGACCAGTCTTTCCACCCGCATAAGATCTGTCTCGAACCGTATTCGAAGATTTCTTGAGCGTTCAAGAAGGCTATCGATCCCCCATCCCTCCAGGCCCCCAGGACGCTTCAAGCAAGGCTGCCTCCACCGGGCCCCGGAACAGCTCCCAAGACGCCCACGAGAGTCGCCAGATAGTGTTCGAGAAGCCCACGACGCCTCAACCGTGGACTCCCCGCCTCTTCTGAGGGTCGGCGGAATGGCGTAAAAAAAATCACCCATCCACATCCCCCTTCGCCACTCATCCACGACCCCCTCCACCGCCCAGATACCCCCCCTCCTCCCTCCCGTCCCCGACCCCTCCCCCTTCTTCTTCCCCAACGCCTCCCCTCTCCACCCCCCTCTCCAGCACCCTTCCTGAGATCCCTCCCAATCCCCTCCCTCCCCCTCCCCTCCTCTCTGGACGCCCGACAGCGGCCGCTGTTGGGCAGGAGAGCTTGTGTCTCAACTGGACAACGTCCGCGGCGGCGCGGACAGCAAGTCCTCTTCAAATTATCCTGGCGAAGGACCCAACCATACGCAAGTGTGAGAATCGCAGGGCAGGTGGGACCAAGCAAAGGGAATTAATTCCCAATGGGGCCACGAACTGTGTGAGGTGTGCGCCAAAATGGGACGGGGCCGTCATGCGAACCCTGCCACCGGGGCCTTCGGTGGAGCTCCCTATGGGGCCACGAACCGTGTGAGGGGTGCGCCAAAACGCGGGGCCGCCATGCGAACCCTGCCACTGGGGGCTTCGGTGGAGCTCCCTATGGGGCCACGAAACGCTGTGCTGGGTGGATGAAACGCAGGGAGGAAGGAGGAGGGGGAGGAGGGAGGAGGAGGAGGAGGAGGAGGAGGAGGAAAAGGAGGAGGAGGAGAACGCGGCAACCGCTATTTCAAAACGGGGACCCAGCACCACAGGATGGTTGGGAAAAACAGGAACTGCTGTCGGGCATCGTAGCCGTTCTTTCCGTACCTGTTTCGACCGTGCCGACACTGCACCCTCTCCACCCTCCTCCTTCCTCCTCCTCCTCCTCCTCCTCCTCCTCCTCCTCCACCTCCTCCTCCTCCTCCACCTCCTCCTCCTCCTCCTCCTCCTCCTCCTCCTCTCCATCCTCTTCCTCCTCCTCCTCCTCCTCATCCTCCTCCTCCTCCTCATCCTCCTCCTGCGACTGCGCTGGGCCGAACTCTCCGGCTCCCCCCTCCCGCTCGAGCACCTCGCCGACCGGGCGGCCGGCGGCCTGCGAAGCTCTTCAGGCCGAGCTTCTCACGCTCCTGGCCAGCGGGCAACGGGCGAGAAGGACAGAGAAGCGGAGGAGGAGGAGGAGGAGGAGGAGGACGGAGAGGAGGAGGAGCAGGGGGAGGGAGGAAGAGGGAGCAGGAGGAGGAGGAGGGAGGAGGATGCTGGATGCTGGGTGCTGGATTGGCCTGCCTCCGAGAGGTAGGTCCGAAAAGAGCGGGCTGAAACACAAGATTCGGCGCACCACGTGGCGAATCCGTCGCGCCGCTCGCGCCGGCGATCCGCAGCGGCGCACGCGGGGCATGCTGGCGCGTGGAACCGGAAGAACCGACCTCTCCAGGCCCGCCCGGATTGCAGTGGTGGCCCGACCACAAGAGATCTTCCACAAGAAACCCAACCCTGAGACCCCAGGACGCCCATCGATTTTGGGTGTGGGAACGTCACGCTTTCCATGGCAAAACCATCGAAACACAAGAAACCCAGGGCACCCTGGAGGCAAGCAGGGTGTTTCTTGGCATGGGCCCCCACTGTAGTGACGGCAGAAAGGCGAACAGGAACAAATTCAAACAAACGTTCTGGGACTAGAGCAATTTGGTGAGGTACAGGAGTTGTTTGAACAAACACGTTGTTGTCCGAAACACAGGGTTTGGCATAAAAGTATGTTCAAGCAAATGGTCGGTAAATGAACTGCCCCAATGCTTTCAATCGAACAGCAAAAGATCTGTCCCAACTGAGACGTTCGGTCCCGATACGGCCTCGGCCTATGCTGAACGAAGCCCGCACTGCGGTCACGCCAGGCGCGTGGCGCAGCAGCAGATGCGCTGCAAGGGCGTCGAAGCGCGCCTGCGCGCGAGAAGCCTCGAGGGAGGAGGAAGAGGAGGAGGAAGAGCAGCAGCAGCAGGAGGAGGAGAAAGAGGGAGAAGGAGGAGGAAGAGGAGGAAGACCAGTGCAAACCCAAGAGTCATCAACGATGTTGGCATAAACCCTCAATCCAAGCTCCCTGACCATAGGCCCCTACCACGGTTCATTTCTACAGGAGGAACTGCCTCGTTGGAAGGCAACCGTATGAAGACCCTGAAGCATGCCAAAACATTATTCTCAAGACTCCGACGCCACGGATCGACCTGATTGTTGCGTCTTGACGATCTTGAATCGTGCCAGAAATCAATTCCTGGGACTTCAACATCGCGAACCGACTTGACTGTTGCACGCTAATATTCCTGAATCTCTCCAAAACACTACTTGCGGTACGTTGACCATGGGAATCCAGAACTCTTGCAAATGTTTAACACCAATGCGCGCGGCGCTAAGGCGAGAGCCACATTTTGAAAAGGAACCACCCTCAATATGTTAAATGTTTGCAATATTTGTGTTAACGAACTTGCGCGGCGCTGAGGCGAGAGCCACATTTTGAAAACCACCCGCCCTCAATCCATGAAATTCTTGCAAATGTGAAAACGAGTGTGCACGGCGCTAAGGCGAGAGCCACATTTTGAAAACCATCCGCCCTTAATCCGTGAAGCTGTTGCACATGTTGAATTGAAAACGAATATGCGCGGCGCTAAGGTGAGAGACACATTTTGAAAACGACCCGCCCTCCTTCTGTGAAGCTGTTGCCAATGTTCAAGCAGCAGGGTCACAAATGGTGAAGAAGTCTCAAGCGAAACGCCCGGCCCGCCCTCTCGACCGGCCTTGAGGTGCGACAGGGAGAAATTACTTATAAGGAAAAAGAATGGAGGAAGAGGAGGACGAGGAGGAGGAAGAGGGAGGACCAGTGTAAAACCAACAGTCACCAACGGTGTTGGCATAAACCCTCCCTCCAAGCTCCCTTTCGTAGGCCTGATACAACGGTTCATTTCCACTGAGGGAACTGCCTCGTTGGAAGGCAAGCATTTGAAGATCCTGAAGCATGCCAGAACATTCTTCTCAGGACTCCAACGCCACGGATAAACCTGACTGTTGCGTCTAGACGATCTTGAATCGTGCCAGAACGCCATTCCTGAGACTTCAACACCGCGAATAAAAATAATTGTTGCACCCTCAGAGCCTTGAATTCCCCCCGAAAAAATCTGGTACTTTGACCCTGGGAACCAGTGAAACCGTGGCAATGTTTGAAAATAAGGTGCGCGGCGCTAAGCCGAGAGCCACCGCGGGAGGCGCGACTGGCGGATCCCAAGCTCCAAATCTTGATCATATACACGCGAGTGGACCTGGAGGTCATCCGCGCGCCGACCTTCAACCAGTACAAAATTCACGTCGCGCTCAGAGTAACTCGTCAGCTCACCTGGAGGCTCATCTGGGCAGAAAGGTGCGGCCAGCCTCACGTCCGAATGGCGGCCAACCCTGCTGAGCATACGCGTCCTCGCTCTGTGACACGCCATGCCACCACTGGCACACTGGCGAGTCCCTGGGCATCCTCGCGCCGGACAGACGGAAACTCCGTTACTGGTGAGAAGGAGCGGCCACAGCTCCATCACGCACCCAGTCTTGGCTCTGGCTCTGATGCGGACCTGAGGAGCGTGCGTGACAGTGGACCCGTCGAGCACCTGGGTCCGTTATCCTGTTGCAGGACGCCATCAGCCCCCCGCGCGGCCGCGGCTGGCTGCGGGGCGGTAGGCGGCTGCCCTGGTCCAATCCGTCGGCGGGTGATCTGGCAGTGGTGGACGCACGGGTGCAGCTGGCCTTGCCGAGTGGTGGCGGTGGCCAGCGTGCCAAGGGCGTGTGTTGGCACACGGGTTACTCATTTCAACGGACTGGTCAATGCCAGTCAAGTAAGTGCCGAGCTTTCCCAGGTCCATGTAGGAGTCAGGTGGGAGATGCCTTGATACTTTCGCTTGATCCCCAATCAAGATCGAGTTCCGGTTCGCGGTTTTGGGAACCAAGTCACTGTCTGCGCTCAGCACGGAGACTGCAGTAGATGGCAGGCTTGCCTGGTCCTTTAAAATCATCATGTCGCAGGCGTTTTCCTTGCGGCATGAGTTCCGCACAGGTGCCAACCACTTTTCTCCACTGCATTGGCTCCCGACCTGGGAACCCGTCTCGGTCCCACTGGTAAGTAGGCGGACCTGGTAAGTGGCAAAGAATACTAATAAGGAGTTCGAAGTAAGAAATATGTAGGAGGGAGTCGCCAAGGAGACCTGAATAATGAGCATCAGCTAAGGAGTCCTTGTAAGGGAATATGGATTAAGGAGATAAAGAATCATTACTATTGAATCCTTCATGCGGAATCTGAACGCAGGCCTCCTTAATGGCCAGGCGTCCTCACCCTCGGTTCGAGAAAACGCTGTGTGTATGGTTGTTTTGGTCTGGGATACCAGGAAACACTGTGTAGTTTTGTACTTGTTTTGTTCTTGTTTTGCAGGCTCAGAGAGAAGTGCTGCGAGGGAGGCCGCGGCGAGCACTGCGGGGGGGGAGAGAAATGTTCGTTGCTTCGCAAACCCGCCCCCCAAAAAAACCTTCCTTACACCAAGGGCGCCAACTACTGCGTATGTTTGGTTTTCTTGGTTGCTTTGGTCTGGGATGCAAGGGAACAAGGTATATTGTTGGTTGTTTTGGTTGTCTGGGTTCTGCAGGCTCAGAGAGAAGTGCTGCGAGGAAGGCCGCGGTCAGCACTGCAGCTTGCAAGACAAAATGTCTGACCCTCCAAAAAAAAACACACAAAAAAGTCCTGCCTTGCACCAAGGGCGCCAACTACTGCGTATGAGTTGTTGTTTGGTTGCTTTGGTCTGGGATGCAAGGAGACACTGCGTATCTTTGGTATGTGGGTTCGACAGGCAGAGGTGCTTCGAGGGAGGCGGAGGCGAGCACTGGAGCTCGCAATCCCGCCCAAAAAGAAGAAAATTCAAAAAAACGTGGTCTCGCAAGCCAAAAATACAGAAAAACAATAAGAAAAACAAAGCACTGTTGCCTTGCACCAAGGGCGCCAACTACTGTGTATGTGCTTGTTTTTGTTTGTTGGCTTCGCAGGCTCAAATACGAGTGCTGCGAGGGAGGCCGCGGCGAGCACCAGGGCCTGCTAAAACCAAAAAAACTGCGTTTAGCGGCTTCACAAACCAAAACGAGCGCTTCGTTGCACTGACAGCGCCAAGCGCTGTCTGGTATGATATCTGTAGTGTTACAAAGAGAGGGGGAGGAGGAGCAGGAGCAGGAGGAGGAGGAGGAGGAGAGGGTGAAGAGAAAGAAGAGAGAGGAAAACGAGGAAGAAGCAGCAAACAGAGAGGGAGATAGAGGTACGGTCACAGGGGGACCATGTAGGCATGTACATATGTGTGCGAAAATAAAGACCTGCATGCCTGCCTGCATGCATGCATACAGACACACAGACAGACAGACAGACAGGCAGACAGACTGACAGACACACCGACGGGCAGACAGACAGACAGCCAGCCAGACAGACAGACAGGCAGACAGACAGGCATCATGCATGCATGCAGGCAGACAAGCATGCATGCACACGCACACATACACAAATGCATACATAGATACATGCATGCATGCATGCATATATGCGTACATGCATGCATGCATACAGACATACATGAACACACGCATACATGCATTCATGCGTGCGTGTGTGCATGCATGCATGCATGCATGCATTCACACACAAACACATACACACAGGCATACAGGCCTACATGCATGCATACATTTATGCATACAGGGCAGCTTTTAATACATAGGATGTTTAAAACCACAGAATTTTGAGTGCATTCTCAATGTATGAATAAATTCGTGCATGAACTCATCGTTGTGTTTAATACTAGAGCCCTGCATGTTTAATACATGGTCCGCACGCGGAACATGCATTGAAAACGGCACTGTACACACATACACACATGCATACATGCATAGATAAATGCATACCTACATGCATGCATGCATACATACATACATAACCCATACGGACACGCATGCCTACACACATACGCATACACATGCATACATGCATACATCTATACATACATACATACATACATACATGCATACATACATACATACAGACAGACAGACAGACAGCCAGACAGGCATACATACATACATGCATAAATACATGCATACATACATACATACATGCATACATACACACATACACACATACGTACAGAGGTACATACAGACATACATAGACGCACATGCATGCATGCATACATGCACGCATGCATACTCACATACATGTATGAACACATACATACAGACAGACCGACAGACAGACAGCCAGCCAGCCAGAGAGACAGACATACATACAGTACATGCAGGCATGCATGCATGCATTCATACGTGCATACATGTGTACGCATGCACATGTCTAGAAGCATACACGTATACATACCGCCGTACATGCTTACCTACATGCATCCAAATAAAAATGCAAACATACATACTTACCTGCATACAGGCAGACAGACAGGCATAAAGGCAGACAGACATACAAAAAAACAAGCATGCAACGAAACACACACACACACACACACTCGCGCGCACGCACGCACTCACGGACGCACACACGCACGCACGCACGCACGCACGCAGAACGGATGAAACAAAACAATGATTAAGGAGAGGGAGAGAGAGAGAGAGAAAGCGAGAGCGAGAGAGAGAAAGAGAAAGCAAAGAGCAAAGAGTGGGCACGGAGTCCGTGAAAGGGGGTGAGAAAGGACAGCGAGGAAAGAGGAGGGACTATGAGAATGGCCAAGGAAGCTGGGGCTGACGCATGTCTCCTTACTAAACGCCACCTGGTCCAGCATCGAGGTCATGGACTTCTTGAGCTGATCCAGGCCGACAAGCGAATTCAGCTCCGCGCGCAGCTCGTTGGCCCTGTCCTGCAGGCGTTGCTGAGGAGCGGCGGCGTAAACGAAAGTGATGGGAGAGGTGTCCGTGGCGGAGGTGGGGGGGAAGGACGATGCGGGGGAGACAGGAGCAAGCAAGGACAACGGAGGATGAAGCAGGGAGGACAGCTGGAAGGGAGGAGTGAGAATGGGGGTGAGAATGGAGGCGGAGGAGTGAGTGGGGAGTTGGGAGAAGGGAGAAGTCAGAGGGAGGAGAGGGAGGGAGAAGGGAAGGAAATAAAGGGGAGGAGTAAAGGAATGAGAGAGGAACAACTGCGATGGAATCGCTTTGAAATCCAGTAGCTGAAGTCGCCATTCCTAATGAAGCGGCGAAGCGTAACGGATGTCTTCGTGGGCAAACCTACGTGCGAAATGTTTGCAGAGGAAGAGAGGATGTGGGAGAGCCGGGGGGAAAGGGGCACTCAGACGGGGCGGGGAAACACGTAGGGGGAGGAGAATAGAGAATGGAGGGTGAAATAGAGAATAGAGTGGAGAGTGGAGGGTGCAGAGGAAAGAGTGGCAAGCTCGGTGCATTCCTCCTCCTGCTCTTCCTCCTCCTCCTCCTCCTCCTCCTCCTCCTCCTCCTCCTCCTCCTGCTCCTCCTCATCCTCCTCATCCTCCTCCTGCTCCTCGTCATCCTCATCCTCCTCCTCCTCCTCCTCCTCCTTCGTCTCAGCATCATCATCATCATCATCATCATCATCATCATCATCATCATCATCATCATCATCATCATCATCATCATCATCATCATCATCATCATCCTCATCCTCATCTCATCATCATCTCATCATCCATCATCATCATCATCAGCATCATCACCATCATCATCATCATCATCATCAGCATCATCATCATCAGCATCAGCATCAGCATCATCATCATCATCATCATCATCATCAGCAGCAGCATCATCATCATCATCCTCATCATCCTCATCATCATCATCATCATCATCATCATCATCATCCATCCCCTGAAGTTCCTCCTCCTGGTCCTGCGTACTCGTATCACTCGTCACCCCTTCTCCTCCACGTTCCCGCGCAAACATTGGGAAGTGGAATCCATCTTCGAGAGAGGAGACGTGGAACTCTTTGGAGCGGAGAATGGGGAGTGAATGGCAAAAATGGTGCAGCACGATCTGCACACCTAAACCGACCCTGGAGTCGGCGCATGTGCCTCCCTGGCCATGTCAGGAGGGCGTATACACAGATCCCGGGCCCAGGATGGGTCTGGATCGAGCACAGAAGAAGAAAAAACGCCATAAACATCAACTGTTGGCGCTCAGCGCGGATTTCTTGGATCTGCGCCGACCCCCCCCCTGGCGCGCGGAGCGCGCCAGGGGCGGCGCTGGAGGCGCCGTCGGGGGGGTCCAGCGCAGATACGAGAAACCCGCGCGAACCTCCGAGTTTTTATGTTTATGTCATTATGTTATGTTTCTGTTTGCAGAAGTCCCATGCGTCTCGCACAACTCTCTACCCGCCACCTGACTTAAGCATCCACGATCTTAGAGAAAAACACATCGAGACACCATTCTGCCGCGAGTGCCTCGGCGACAAAAGCCTAAGGTTGGGTCTGGATCGAGCAGGAGCAGCGCAAGAACCTACATGCCTCCTCCAGCCCGCTGACGGCCGAGCACTGGCGCTCATGCCGGCTGCCCGGATGCCTGCGTGTCGGTCCTCGCTCGGGCCGTCGAACTCGACGACGCCGCTGGACTTGGCCAGCGCGCGGACCAGCAGCTGGTAAGTGTCAGCGTTCTGCCGAGCCTGAGGCCGGCTGGGCAAAACGCTTTTGTTGCAGGAGGAGGGGGAGGAGGGGAGGAGGAGGGGAGCGCGACCACCGAACTCCACACGACTCGGCCACAGCCGCTGTGCGGATCAGGAGGTCGCCAGGAAAGCCTGAAACCCCACGCGAACCGATCGGGCACTAACATGGATAACGGATCAGCGGATCTGGCGCGCGAGCGCCAGATCCATGGGTCGGGGGCGATTCGCCGAAACACGAAGCCTGTGCCGCCTGATTAGGCTTCAGCCGGGCCTGTCCTCCTACAGGGGGATTTTCGACGAAAAATCAAAACTACCCCAAAAGTAATGAAAAAATAGTCCAAAAATAGTCTGGGGACTATTTTTTTAATACTTTTTTGACCTTCTTGGAGTGTTTTTGGGGTATTTTTTATTTTTCGTCGAAAATCCCCCTGTAGGGGGACAGGCCCGACCTAAGATTAGGCGGCTGAGCGCGTCGATCTCGCTTGGAAACTGGGCTGGAGGGCCCCCTCCCCCTCCAACTATTGTGATGGTGGTAGAAAACAAGCCAATCACCTCCACCCAACGCTGTGGAGGAGGAGGAGGAGGAGGAGGAGGAGGAGGAGGAGGAGGAGGAAGAGCACGCTCCACGCGCGCGCTCGAGCCCGTGTCTGCGCCTCTCCTCGCCGGGAGGAGGCGCAGGGCGAGGGCACAAAGACCAAGACCGCCACGCCCTCCCCCGACGGACGTGCCCCACGGCCGCGGGGCAAGACGCTTCCAGTGAGGGGAACTGGCATAGGAGGAGGAGGAGGAGGAGGAAGGAGGAGGAGGAGTGGACTGGGAGGGGACTGGCATGGGGGGGGGGGGGGCCCAGGACACACAGATGAGTACACACCAATAAGAAGATTCCCAGTATTTTCCCAGATCTTCTGGGCTTCTGTCTTCCCCCCCATATTTTCTGGGGGATCGACGACTAATTGTGTCTGTGTGTTTTTTCCCCTCCTGAAAGACGCTTCCAGTGAGGGAGGCAGACTGGGAGGGGACTGGCACAGGGGGGGGGCCACGTCGGCCCGGAGTCGGCGCTGCGTCGCCAGCAGATCGGCGATGGGCCCCCGAGAGCGATGCCTACCCCCACGCTCCCGGCTGGGGTGGGGCCATAAGCCCCCGATCGGCGATCGGTGGGTGATTGGCCTCCTCCTCCTCCTCCTCCTCCTCCTCCTCCTCCTCCTCCTCCTCCTCCTCCTCCTCCTCCTCCTCCTCCTCCTCCTCCTCCTCCTGGGGTCGATGCACTCAAGCAACTTGGGCTCGAGCATTTTGCCGTCCCCCAGGTCCTCTGCACCTCCACGTGGTGCTTGAGGGACTTGGCCCTGGTGTCAGCCACACCACTGGGGCCACGACCAAGACAGAGGTTTTGTACGGACCAGCACACTTGTTAGCGGCATGTCGACGTCGACGCCTCCGTGGACGAGGTGCGACAAATGCAAGCGCTGCGAGTGGAACTCGATTCTCAGCATGAACCAGCGGAAGTGCCCAGGCTGCCAGACCGTTCTCACGCTATACAAGAAGCCAGTCAGAGGCACGGTCAGGTTCGACCTAGACACGGAGGCCGATGACTTTGAGGACTTCCACGAGTGCGAGGAGGAGCCCAGCAGCGACACGGGAGGCGGCGGCGGCAGCAGGTCGGCTCGACGCAGTCGCAGCCCCTCCCCGTCGGGCGTCAAACGCAGCGGCAAGGGCGGCGGCACTGAGGTCTCGCAGCACCTGCGCAAGGCCTTGGCTGCGACCAACGATAAGGAGCTGCAGAACGCCCTCAAGGCGCAGATCACACGGATCCAGAGCGACCCGCCGCCGTCTGCAGCCAACCCCGTCGATGCCATGAAGAGAGCGGACGGGGCCTTCAAGAACGCGGACCACTTGCATGAGCAAGCCGTGGCCTCCGTCCTCCGCCTTCGCGCCAGCTTGAAGGCAGCGGAGGCCAAGGAGGAGGCGGCCGCCTTGCGCCTGGCTGAGGCCAAGGAGGCCAAGACGGCAGCGGCTCGGGCGGTGGCCATGGCAGAGGGCGTCCATGACGTCAACACGAACACGCAGAGCCAGAGCCAGCAGAAGGGACCCATGTTCAAGCTTCAGTGGGACGAGACCTTCTTTGCGGGCCTGGACAAGATGGATTGCACGGAGCCTGAGCGAGCTGCACTGCAGACACTCCAGCAAGACCTTCTCAACACGCGTGGCCTGTTGGAAGGTAAAGAGAAGGAGATCACACAGTGGCTCGAGCAGGCCAAGAAGTACCAGCAGGACATCACGGACAGGATGTCCAAGAAGCGCAAGGGCAAGGCAGGCGAAGCGGCCCCTCCACCAGAGGCTCAACCTGCAGAGGCGCCAGCGGCGGAGGGCACGAAGGACTCACCGAAGCCCCAGGCCGACGGCGAGGACGCCAAGCGTTCCGAGATGCTCAAAGAGGAAGCGAAGAAGCTGTCCGACGCGCGCTACCAGGCGATGGTCGAGACGGCCAAGGCGAAGGGCAAGGGCTCCGACAGCACGGCCGCCCCCAGGCATGGCGACCCAGCGGTCGCCACCACTGGTGAGAGCGCAACGCCTTGCCAGGTGGCTGGGGCGGCTGCTGCCGCGGCCACGGCTTGACAAATGCAGGAGGGTTCACCTCGGACCCTTGACACAACCGAGGGTCAGGAGTTCACGCACATGTTTGTGGCGAACGTGACGGAGCTCTCTGACAAAGTTTGGAAGTATCTGGTCAAGAATTCGGCTACATACCACTTCTTCGGCTTCCTGGAGACACATGTTCACTCCTCGGCCGAACTGCATGAATGGGATAAAAAGGCTCGACTGCAGAAGCTTAGATTGCACCACAATCCAGCACGCGAGTCAGGCAAGACAGTTTCAGCTGACAAGCAAGACAGATCGAATGAAGGTGGAGAAATGTTCCTTGCACGGAAGCATCTTCAAGCACACCTTCTCCCTGAGGCTCGGGCAGCAGCTGCTCAGTTATCCGATGTTGGGACGTCGGCGCTGGACGGCTTCCTGCCGATGGTGATCCACCAGACGGGCTACAGCCTCTTGGTCGTCCTGCTCTACGGCTACCCCCCGATTCAGATGACGGGCCACAACAAGCGTCGGTATGGACGACTGGGAGGAATGCTCAAGTCGGTGCGCATCCCGTGGCTCGTCATCGGCGATTTCAACATGGACCCCACCGTGCTGCAAGCCTCCAGCTTCATTCAGCAGGTAGGCGGGATCATCCGTGTGGCGCAAGGAGGCGTGGGCACGTGCGCGAGGAAAAATGCTCCAGACTCGCTCTTGGATTATATGGTATGCTCGCAAGCTGCCCTTCCCTTCGTCAAGGATCTGACCGTCGTCCGCGATGTGAGCTGGAAACCGCATGTAGGTCTGCACCTCACTCTTAGGAGCTCGGGCCTCCAGTTGGTCACCAGGGCCCTCGAGATGCCCCTTAGGCTGCCCCAGGTGGCTAGGCCCCAGACGGCTCCCACTCTTGGTTCCAAGAGCACCCGTGCGAAGTCTCTGAGGCAGTCGGCCCAAGCTGAGGCTGCTGCCAAGCGTGTTGGGATTATAAATTCTCTTTTTGGGGACTGTGTTCAGTCTGAGTCTCACGACGACGTAGGGAGAGTTGAGGGTCCTACAGGGATGGATCCTGCGACTCAAGATTTTGAACCAGAGCTCGATCTCGACGTCTGGCCTGATGAGCCCGACCCATGGGAAAACGAGCTTAATTTCTGTCCTGACGTGACGATCAGCCAACATATTGTCACGCCAGCCCTTGCCGCCCCTCCCTCGGCCCCTCTCCCCGCGCCCAGGACTCCGAATCAGCCAGCACGTGACAGTCATCGGGAGACTGGTGCCACTGCTGGCATCGATGCGTCTATGCGCGGTCTCAGCCCCCCCCCAATTCGAGCCAGCCCCCCCCCCTGACGGTTTAAACGGCCATGCCATGGAAGACACCCGAGGAGCCGAGCCCGAGCAGACTGGCCCTGCCGCGACCACCCCCGAACCGTCGTTCAAGATACCACAGGATTTGTGGTGTCAGATTCGGGAAGATGTTGGGTTTGCGTCAGGAGCCACTTGTTTAGAATATGTCTCTCCTCCTTTGCTGCACTCCGTAGCGTTTCGGCTCGAACCAAAACACTCCGCCACAATATCAGGTTTATATGCCGCGTGGGCGACCACGGCAGAGCGCGCCATCCTCGCGCACCACGATCAAGCCATGGCTGGTACGCCGCATGCGAACGGTCCACAGTTTCGTGTACGCTCGGTCCACGAGGCTTCACACCGTCGGCAGCCCCACTTACCAGATGATCGAGCTCAATGGTGGACGAGAGTGTGCACAGTTGTGGCTGGAGTCTTGCGGCACACGTTGCGTGACAACGGATATGTACAGCTGGGTGGATACCGCACCGCTTGCCATAAGCTCATTGGCGATGTTCCTGCCGACGTCCATGGTTTGCTAAGGCTCGACAAGGACCCGCCGTGGGAGAAGTGGACCGAGTTTCTGCGCTGCGGAGGCCAGGTTGCCCTACCAGTACTGGAATCATGGGAACGATGCGCCAAACGTGTGGCAGCTCGAGCCCAGCGGGTAGCAGTCCAGTCATCGCTGCACGACTTCCGTCAGTGGGTGACGGAGCCGAAGGCGTGCGGGATCCCCCACAAGTCCTTGAAGCCCAAGGTCTTACCAGCGGTCGAGCTGGCCATGGACGGACGCACCATCTACCACCCCAAAGATATCATGGACGAGAAGATGAAGCATTACAAGAAGCTATGGGCTCCCACTACCGTCAGCCTCAGCGACACCAGGGAGCTGTTCAGGCAGATCCGAGCTGGGGCGGCCCACGCCCCGCTCGAGCCCATCGGCCCCACCAGCATCGCCAAGGCATGCCGAAGGATGAAGGCGAACGCAGGCACCAGCGTGGACGGCTTCACGCCCGTCGACTACGAGCGCCTCCCAGCAGCAGGCTTGGCCGAGATGGCCCTGCTGCTGGAGGCGGTGGAGGCCACCCTCACGTGGCCAGTGCAGGTGCTTCTGATCCTCGCACGGCTCACCCCCAAGAAGAGTTCGGGAGATCGAGCGATAGGCTTGGTCCCGATGCTGGGTCGAGTATGGTCAATGATTCGTGAAGAAGAAATTCAGGTATGGAGTAAAGAACAATCGGCACACTGGGACGCTGCTATACGTGGCAATTCATGCCTCCAAGAGGCTTTCCTACGTTCGATAAATGAAGAGGTCGCTCATAATTTCAAAATGCAGCATGGGCACGCCATGCTTGACATAGAAGCCTTCTACGACTCAATACCATGGCAGCCTCTAGTAGCAGCAGCGCTTCGACTCAAATTTCCCCCGGTTGTGCTTTACCTCGAGCTGGTGCAATGTGTAGCACCCAGGGCACTAGAACAAATGGGTGCGGCGATTGACCCGTCCGAACCCAGCCAGAGTGTAGTCCAAGGACTACGCTCTGGCACGCGCTTTGCCAAGGCGCTCACTCACTTCGTGATGGAAGCAGTTACGACCGTGCACCCACAGTTCGATCACAGATTGTGGATCGACGACTTATCTCAACGTATGGCAGGTTCGAGGAAGGCACTCAGACGACAGATGGTGGAATGCATAGTGTTCACGTGCGAGCAGCTGAAGCTCAGGAAGCTGAAAGTTGCCGCGAAGTCCATCATCATGTACGCCAACATGCATGACACGAGGGCTATTGTCAAGGATGTTCGCAGCAGAGGTTTTGAAATCAGGGGTGTCTCACAGGCCACGTACCTAGGCGTCGATTTCGGCTGCGGCAGGATGGCCAGGTCGACCAGGCGTGCACGGGAGACGAAGCACAAGCAGATATCAACCAAGATCCGCAAGTTCACTAAGGCCTCCAGGCAGTACCACGTTACGGCGAAATTACAGAAGCAGGGAGGCCTCCCTGCAGGCCTTTATGGCCACCAGGTGCATGGAGTCTTTGGCCAGAAGATGGTTTCGGTCCGCCGTCGCCTCGGGCAGTCGGTATCAGCTGGCAACCGAGGCAGGTGCTTGACCGCGCTGCTGGATATCAAGACCCCTGACATGGACCCCGCGCACACGCTGCCCGTCAAGGCCGTCGACATGTGGCTGCGTACGTGGCGAGATCACCCAGCTATTCGACCTTCTGTTAGGCGCATTTGGCCAGTTATCTTGAGCAACCTCCAAGGGAAGACCCACGCCGAGCAAGCACAGCAAGTTCGAGGCCCAGTATCGGCTGTCATCCTAAACCTTCTGCGGGCGGGCTGGACGCCAACTACAGCAACCACGTGGAGTTACCCCACAGGCCCGAACTCGTATGAAGAATGGAACTTCCCCGACGAGTGCTACACAGGTGACCCGCATATTGACACGCACGATGCCATACTGTCTGATCTTAAGGAGTCCCTGTATGTCAATACGTGGCGTCACGCGAGTATGCAGTATCTGGGATCTGGACTGCAGAATGGAGTGGATAATGATTCGTACCGCAGGCTGGTCCGACAGCTCAGCGAGGCTGACAACGGCAAGAGGCTCGCGGAGACCATGGTGATGGTTTCCACCGCGGGCTGCTGGACCAAGGACAGGAAGGCCAGTCTCATCAGGGCCTACGCGGGCGACAACATCTGTGACCGATGCCGTGCAGCTCCTGAGACGGCGAAGCACAGGTACTGGGAATGCAGTGAGAATAAAAATTCGCAGGCTTTCGCCTCCTCTGAGCACCTCGTGCCCCAGGCTTTAGCGCAGTTCGATAGTGAAGAAGGGTTTTGGGCCCGAGGCCTCATCCCTAGGGACTGGACCGCTGTCCCGCCTCCTGTCTCTGCCCCTGCCTGGTTTGCGACGGGTGTTAACGAGGTTGAAGTCGGGTGCCTGGGGGTTGGGTCCCGTGAGCTGCCTGTCATCGTTGCGGGTGACGCCTCTGGAGGTCCCGACTCGAAATCACCCAGGCTCCGACGCGTAGGTGTAGCTATTGTTAAGTTTGCCTCTCTCCACCCGCTTGTGGTCGATTCTTCCATCTCTGGCCCGCTTTGGGGGCCAAGACAGGTTGTTGCTAGAGGCGAGTTGTGTGCGTTTATGCTTGCCCTTAAAACGACCCGCGACCACCTGGTGTATATAACAGATTTTGAACCCTTGGCCAACAGCTGATACGAATGTGCGTACAGAACGCCGAGGGGACCTGACGCCGACCTGTGGGCTCTCATCAGACAGCTGATGCTCCACCGCCCCCATCACTGTGTTTCCGTGCTTTTCACTCCCAGTCATCAAGACGAGGAGGATATATGTGCGGGGCGGGCGACCAGCAGTCTCGTGCTTGCCAATACTGTTGTAGATGAAATAGCTGGTGCCGCCGCACTGGCATGCAGGATCCCCGAATCCGTTCGACAGCAAATTCAGATTCATGAAAGGCGGGCCCTTTTGGTCCGAACGAGGCTGCTCAAAGCTACCCTCGATTGTTTTGTTGCTGAGAAATCCGTGGCCCTGGATGCGCGGGATAGGAAAAGAGAGGGGGTCCCGCCTCCCCCTCCTCCCCTTCCCCGCCCTCCCGCTGCTGCTGCTCTCGCCCCGCTCCTCTCGGCTCACAGGCTCTCGGAGTGCAGACAGAAGTGCTCGAAGTGTTTTGGTTCGGCTTCCAAAGCCACGACTGCCGAATTCTGGAACTCAGTGTGCCCCCCGCTTGTAAATGTGGATGGCACGCTTTTGTCTCCAGCTGTAGGAAGTCGTATTCACGTCGCGGGGGGCTGGCTACACTCCTCCCATCTCCTTAATTACCATATGGCACTCCGAATTTGGTTCTGTGGTAGATGTGGTGCGTTCTCGGACCAGCAGCTTCGGTCCCTCGGGAAGGCGTGCACGGATATTACTCCCACGGGTAGGGTTTACCTTGATCGCATCAGAGACGGGCTCGCGCCCAAAGCCCTAAGCAAGGCCGACCTAGAACGGCGGCAGCGGCAGGTTTCTCTGTGCCCAGAGGTTTAAGCCCAATTTTATTATCGACTGGCTTCGCCACTGGTTCATACTCATACTCATACTCCTGGGGTCGATGCATCCGCCCCTGTGCCTGGTCTCCCCTATCGTTGCCCCTGACCCCGTCTCCGCACCGCACGGCACCCTCGCGCCCGCGGGGCCGCCTTTCGGGCGTTGGCAGAACTGGGTTCAGTGGAACCTGGTTTGAGGATGCGTACCGGGGGACGACCCCCCGCCCCGTTCCACCAACCGGAACTGCCGTCACCCGAAAAAACACCAGCTGCGGCAGACCTGGTTTATCGGGGATGGACAGACCTCCATTTAGTAAAACGTGGTTTAGTGAAAACGACCTGAGGCCCAAACCTGGCGGGCGCAGGCCTAGAAAATAACGGCCACGGCGTCCTCTCGAGAACCGAAAAAGGACAATTCACTAATCGACGTGTCACTGTTGGGGGTTCTGTCCACCCCCGAGTTTAGTGAGTCTGGCCAATTCAAGGGCTCCGGGGCCCCACCACTAACCGGGTCCCCTTACCTGGGGTCCTGGCTGTACCCGAAGGTCCCCCCTGTCTTTGGAGGGGGCGCAGAAAACTTCTCGGGAGTCTGGGGCGCGCAAACATGGATTAGGGATCTCCCCCAAAATGCTCCCGGTGCCGCCTCGTTCGGCGGCGGGAATCCGCGATTTCCCACGGAAGCGAGACCCATCCACGCCCCGTTGATCCATGTTTGCGATCGCCTCAGGAAGGCCCGAGCCTTGTCGTGGTCCAGCTTGAGGCACTTCTTCTCCCCGTAGGCGTTGTCCTCGCGGGCCGGCCGCCGCCGGCGGCCGCTCTCACGGGCGGCCCGCTCCTCGGACGACTCGCGCAGGACCTCGCCATCGCTCGGACGTCCATTCTGTTTGTTTTTGTTTTGTTTCGTGCGTGGCTTTTTCGCCAAATGATCAAGGATGCTCCTCGATGGTCCTCGCCGAGGGAAGAGTGCACACGTCCGAGCGATGCCAAGGGGTAGGCAAACGGCGGATGAGGCAGAATCCCGACCGGGAAGGCCTTCCTGGAGCCACTCGCTCCACTCGCGCGTCGGCGCTGCGTCGAACCGTCCGTCGACTCGAGTGGAGCCAGAGTCGAGCCCGAGTCGAGCTGTAGCCGAGCTGGACTGGAGTCGGGCAGCTCTGCGAGACGGGCCCCAGCAAGGTCCCCCCAGTCGAGCATCCAAGGGAGGGAGCGGCGCGCGCAAGGGAGTAGGGGAGGGGCGGAGGCTGCTTCTTAGAAGGCACCAGTCCTACATCTATAGACAAGGCCCGCACCTTCTAAATACGCTCTAAAAATTGCAAGAGTTTCACGGGTTCCCATCATCGACGTGCCAGAAATTGTGTTTTGAAAGAATTCAGGACAATGCGGGCCCAACAGTTCTGTTGATTCGTTGTACTGAAGTCCCAAGAGTGTTCTGGCACGATTCAGGATGGTCAAGACGCAACACTCAAGTTGATCCGTGGCGTTGGAATCCCGAGAACAATGTTTTGGCATGCTACAGTTCCTTCAATGGAAATGAACCGTTGTATGGGGCCTACGAAGAGCGAGCTTGGAGGGAAGGTTTACTCCAACGTCGTTGATGACTCTTGGGTTTACACTGGTCCTCCTCCTCATCCACCTCCACCTCCAACTCCTCCACCTGCACATCCTACACCTTCACCTCCTCCTCCTCCTCATAATCTTCTTCCTCCTCCTCATCCGCCCTCCTCCTCCTCCTCCGCCTCCTCCTCCTCCGCCTCCTCCTCCTCCTTCGCCTCGTCCATTCCTTTTCCTTACATAGCTTATCCCTGTCGCACCCCGGGGCAAGTTTTTAGGGCAGGCCGGGCGTTTCGCTTGAGACTTCCTCACCACTCTGAAATTTGAAACATTGGCAACAGTTTCACAGATGGAGGGCGGGTCGTTTTCAAAATGTGGCTCTCGTCGCCGCGCACGTTCGTTTTCAAAAGTTACAGGAGTTTCGCGGATGGAGGGCGGGTCGTTTTATAAATGTGGATATCGCCTTAGCGCCGCGCACACTCGTTATAAAAATGAGCAAGGGCTTCACGCATTGAGGGCGGCTCCATTTCAACATGTGGCTCTCACCCTAGCAGCGCGCACATTCGTTTATAGAATGTACCAGGGTCTGAGG